AAGAGCGTGGTTTGAACGTTTGGAAAGGTTGTTACTAGTTATGGCTTCCTTTAGAGTTAGGCGGATCACACTATATTTTATAAACACTCAAAATTTAGTAAAGTTACAATTTTGATTGTTTATGTTGAAGATATTATACTAACTGGTAATGATGAAACAAAATTAGATACCCTCAAGAAGAAACTTTCAAATGAGTTCTAAATTAGGGATCTGAAAAATCTAAAATACTTCCTTAGAATGGAGTTTGCAAGATCCAAAGAAGGTATTTTTGTCAACCAGAGGAAATATTTCCTTGACCTACTAGGAGAAACAAGCTTACTCGGTTGCAAGGTGGCCAAGACTCCTATTGAGCCTAATTTGAAGTTGCAAGCTGCCAAGGCTGAAGAAGTGAAGGATAGGGAATAATATCAGAGACTCGTAGGCTAGTTAATATGCTTGTCTCATACACGCCTTGGTATTGCTTTTATAGTCAGCATGGTAAATCAGTTCATGCACTCACCAGGACCAGAGCATTTCGAGGCTATCTATAGGATCCTAAGATATTTGAAAGGAACTCCAAGGAGAGGCATAATTCAAGAAACATGGCCACCTACACATTGAAGTCTACACTGATGCACACTGGGCATGAAGTGTTGCATATAGAAGATCTACTTCAGGCTACTATTCCTTTGTTAGGGGAAACCTAGTTACTTGGCAGAGTAAAAAATAAAATGTGGTGACCAGAAGTAGTGCGGAAGCAGAATTCAGAACTATTGCTCATGAAATTTGTGACGTAATGTGGATAAAAAGGATACTTGAAGAGCTAAAGTTTTCTCATTTGGCACCTAACAACAATGCTGCGATCTATAGCTCATAATCCAGTTATGCATAATCGAACAAAACATATAGAAGTGGATAAACATTTCATCAAGGAGAAGCTCGATGCTGGAATAATATGCATGCCATATCTTCAAACAACATAACAAATTGCTAACGTGATAACTAAAGGACTACACAAGAAGCAATTCGATAAACTAATTGGCACGCTGGCTATGGAAGACATCTTCAAACAGCTCGAGGGGAGTGTCGGAGATCAATCAATTAAGGTTTGGCCTTGATTCAGCCGTGATCCTAAAGATATGCTAGGATTTGTGTATAATGTAAATATAGATAGTCAATGTTCTAGATTAGGAAATAGGCAGCTATCAATATTCTATTTTATTCTTTCCTTTTTTAGTGTAATTCCTCTCATTCTTAAAAGGAACCTTGTACTCATTCATTTGTTAATTAAGAAAGACTAGTGCTGGAACTTTAAATGGGCCACCCACGACCGCCCGAAAATATCAATTTTGTGCCTGATGCCCGACCCGACCTGCCTGAAATTTTCGTGCCGCCCGTCCGAGCCCGAGAATGCCCGCGGGCCTGGCTTTGGCTGCCCAAGCCCGGTTGGACAGCCCGAGCCCGGCCGAAATGCCCGAAAAAATATATATTTTTATATTTTTTAATTTTTATAATTATTAAGTTATTTTGTGTTAAAATCATATAAAAACTAAAATCAACATTCAACACACATTATTAACACAATTTAATAAATAAATTTTGTATATTAATTTTTAAATTCGTAATTCATGATTGCCTCATAAAAAACCTTACCAAGAAAAACCCAATTGGGATAAAAACTTGGTAAGGAAAAAAGAGTGCAATCATTTTGTGATGAATTACAAATTTTATAAACTTACAAAGTCTAAATATACAATTACAGTGTCGAAAGTAAATACATATTTACAAATTACAATTTAATTTGAAGTTGAATGATCGTCTTCAAAATTAAATGTTAATCTATTAAATTCATCGATCCATTCTTGACTTGCCAGAGAAACTGTATCATGTAAACGTTGATCAGCACGATCCCAATCCTTAATGCAGACCAAGGCTTCAATAATGTCCCTTTGCAATACGAATTCCACAAGTATTTGTCCGGTCGTATTGAAGGCTTGTTCGAATGAAACAGTGGAGACTGGGATCGAAAATATATTCATTGCCAATCGAGTTAGGATTGGCCAAGTTAATACTCGTGCCCTCCACCATTGAACTAAGTCAAATGATTCTTTAGTGCAGTCAACTACTAAGCTCTCACTGAGGTACGTCATAAGCTTGTTGAAGCCGTCGCTGTCACCTGTTAATGAAAATCCACTCCCAGCTTTTGTTTGAGTTGTCTTCTTCTTCAACCTGAAAACATTCAAGAATGAATGCTGATTTTCATCTTGTCATTGCGGTTCTTGTACTCCAGAGTTTGTGTTTCTAAACCTATTCTCATATTTACTATAGATCAAAAATATTGTTTCCTTTATTGTTGGAAATTGGTTAAAACAATTGATGCCTAAAAATTCACCTAAGTTTTCTAAACTACTTTCTAAACCATCTAATTTTAATCTATGATCAAAAATAGTACCCAAACCATACAACAAATGCAACTTAGACCAATATTTTTTAAATTTCTTTTTCACAGAATGGATAGGAACTCCTAAGATTGGGTCCGCCCTATATTCACTACATATAATACTAATTCTTAAAAATTCACCTAAAGCTAATGGTGATGTTGGGTAATATGTTTCACTAAGTTTTAAAGTAACTTCATGAAACCTACCTAAAACTTGATACAAAATTTCAGCAATTTGCCAATCATATGCGTCTATATGTCATGTTCCTAATTTTACACATATATAGTTTGTTATAGTATCCTTATAGGGGATGCATTATTGAAGCATAATATAAGTTGAGTTCCATCTTATGGGCATATCTAAGGCTAATGCTCTAGAAGGTAGATTTAATGCTTGTAAGAACCTAAACTAATCTTGTTCTCTTTGGTTACTACCTTGAATCCATGTAATACTATCTCTAATTCTTTTAATGTGAGTATCCATTTCTTTTAAACCAGTTTTAACTATTAAATTAATTACATGGTATGCACAACGTTGGTGGAAAATAGTACCATCACCGAATAAACTTAAATCATTTTTGAAGTACTCAATTGCTTTAGTATTTGCACTAGCATTATCTAATGTTATAGCCATTACTTTATCTCTTAATCTAAATTCATCAATTACATTTAAAATTGTATTATATATTAAATCGGCGTTATATGATCCTAAAACACATTTAAAACCTAATATTCTCTTATCTAAATTGAATCATTTAAAGTAATGTCCGGTTACAGCTAAATAATCTTTATTGACAGCAAACTAAATATCTGCCGTTAACGCAATGCAACAACTAGTCGAGTGTAAAATGTTTATTAATGCTTCTTTTTCTTTTTTAAATAATTTTAATAAATCTTTTCTAAGAGTAGTTTTTGAAGTGAACTGTGCGTTAGGATTATGTACAACTTTAATATATCATTACCAATTAGGATGCTCTACAAAACTAAGTGGTTGATCTAATGCAGCTATCATTCGCGCAATTTCCATATAATCTACTTGCGGATCGTATTTCTAAATGGTTAGACCACCGGTTGTGCGATAAAAAGATAATTGTGTTTGGCGGAGTTCGGGTCCGCCAGATTGGCTAAGCTTTTGAAGACACTTTTCGAAGTTTCTTCTCGAGTGTGTTGTGTCGTGAATAGTGTCATCTTGTAATTTAGATAAACAATATTTACACTGAACTATATGTTTAGTGTTACCTTCATTGTCGATCTCCTCAATTGTGTCGAAGTGATCCCAAACTGTCGAGTAGGGTTGTTCATGGGTTGGATTGGTACGGGATAGGGCTTTTTCTTCCCCTGACCCAAAGGGTGCAGGTTGCACATATTTGGGCCCAACGATGTTAGAAAAATTTCACAACCCAATGATGTTTGGTTTGGGTTGGGTTGGGTCTGTATGGGGTGGGTTAGGTGGTTGGTTTCAACATTCAAAAAATCAAAGACTCAAAGTTCAATCTAACATTCAAAGTTCATCATTAAATAGAAATAATAACTCCAACATTCAAACAGATAGAAATTCAAAGTTCAATCTAACATCAAACATGAAGCATAGTTGGCCATCCAACATCAAACATAAAGCAAACATAAATTAGTCTTCATAAATTAGTCTTAACATAAAGCAAACATAGAGGCTTAATTCAAACATGAAGAAACTAGAGAGTAAAAATGAGTTGCCTGCCTAGGGTTAGCTATTAGAGGAGGCAAGTTAAAGCGCAGGTTGGGTTGGGGTGTGCGGGCCATTATAGGCCTAACCCACACGCCACCCCAAAACTTCAGGCTAAACATTGAATGGGCTGAAAAAAAAATTTAATACTAGAAATTACATTTCTCTGGTTGGGTTAGGGTGTGGTGGGTTGGGCCTGCGGGTTTTACGGGTTTATGAACAGCCCAACTGTCGAGGTGTGCTTGCATTTCCTGCTAGAGGTTGCAACACTTGCAGACGCAGTCGCACTTGCACTCGCCACTTCTCCACACCAACCACCATTGCGACCACGACCTCCAGTACGTCCAGCAGGGCTCGGACTAGCAGATTCTTACGTAATAAATCCATTAGTGGGAAATTATCCTTCTTCCACGTTGTGTTGAGCATCAATGAGAATACCACTATAACGGAAAGAATCCATTATAAAAAAAATAAGAGCGATTTGAGAGAGAGAGCTTTAGGATATTGTGATAGTTTTTATAATAATTGTGAGAGAGATTTGAGAGATTGAGAGAAATTGAGAGAGATTGAGAGAAATTGGGAGGGATTGAGAGGGTTTGAGTGAGAAAAATGTGTGGGGGATTTGGGTATTTATAGAGAAATTTTTGGGTTAAAAAATTGATTTTTTTCCTCCAAATTCGGATCCAACGGTTATTTTTTTCGGCGGGTCAGGTTCGGACAGAAAATCGGGCAACAGTAAAAAAAATAGCCGTTGGGGTCGGGCAGTTCAGGCTTCGGGTCAGGCACCAACGGTAAAAAAATATATCCGTTGGTCGGGCTCGGGCTTTAGGCAATTCGGGCATGACTGAAAAAATTTAAAAAAATTCCGGCGGATGGTGGTTGACGGCGATATCACGGCAGCGGGCTCCGACGAGTTGTATATTTTTGAGCTGCCCAAGTCCAAGCCCGAAAAATAAAGTGGGACGGGCCGGCATTTGGACCTGCTTGCCGAGCCTCAAAAATTCGGGCCTCAGGCCGGCCCGTCAGCCC